CAGCGCCCGAGGTAAAGCTCAGCGAGCTCGGGGCGCTCAGAACCCGCTCCCGGTGCCTCCGAGCCGTCGGTCCGGCCGCACCCTCGGGGCCGGCGAGACGCCGCTTCGCTTTCCCCGCTTCGCTTTCCCCGCCTGTTCCAGCGCTCGTTTCGCTCCCTCTGAGCGTTTATTCATCATAGTTTGTCGTGTCTTTGGTCGCCTATTTCGCTTGAATAGGTAGATAGTCAAAAGGGTGAATCCGGGGGTAGGTAATGAGCTAATTAAAGCCTTGAGAGAAGTGAAAGCACGTGAAATGCTGATTGTAGGTGCGACGCATTTCTGGTTCATGATGGGGTAGGAAAATGCAGTCGGGTAGAAAACACCAAGGCCTTTGGAATATTTCTGTAAGTAGTCGTGCGTTTTGCTTACTCGAGTGATTTTTTTTTTTGGGTCATAGTTACAGTTAAACTGCTCTAAGTGGTGTTTGATAGAGGAAGGGAAATTTTTGGCTGTTGAAAGTTTTTGGAAGTCCTAGCTTTTCAGTTGGGAATAGGAAAAAAAAAAAGCATCAGAGAAGGGAAGCAGGATGCCCGAGAGCAACAGGGAGCTGATGGCAGAAGGTTTGATGTTTAGGAGCGGAGTGGAGAGTTGGTAGTCATTCATGAGTTAATTACAGCTGGGGAAGTGCATGGGTTTGCTAACGTGAAAGTAAAAATAGTTGATCGAATGTAGTCCGCGGAAAAAGTAAGCTCATCAAAGGTATTACAACTCCTGGAAAACTAAGTGGCTGGGAAAGCTTGAGCTCTGTTTCATCCCAATTCAACTGAAATACAGTTGAAACAAAGTCACTAATGGCTCAGATGGTAGACCTGCAGCACCCTTCTCGAAATCACATCAAACCAGACTCGTTAGTTTCACTCCTCTTTTACTGGCTCCCTTAAAAAAAATTAATTCGAGCTGTGTGGATTTTATCAGCCTTCCTTGTCGATGACCGCCTTGTCCTACACAATAGTGGATTTTTTCCATCCATTTGCCAGTGATTCAATCTAACCCCCCTGCTGGGTTTACTGCATTCTTCTAACTTATTGGATAACTAGATGCTGAGAGATAACATTCCTGAAATTCGGGGGTGGGGAGATAAAAAAAACACAGTAGAAGTCCTATCCCTGGGAAGCCTTTGGAGAGGGTTAAGTGAAGTGCACCAGCGATTGTCGTGGCAGTAAAGCCTTGTACAGTATGTGGGCAGAGCTGGTGTCTCTCTGTGGAGCCCCTGAATCCAGGCGGGTCCAGACCCTGTCAGTGCTAACTGCTCTGATTGCAGCGCTCGGTGCTCCTGCGAGGCTGGGGGAGGAGGATGTAACTGGAAATCAAGATGAGGATTTTTGCAAAAGCTGTTTTTTTTTTTCTTCAAAAAATCAGTAAACTGCTCCTTTGTTATTCCAAGTGCTACACAATAAGCCAACCTCCTGCTCCTGAATTTATCTAAACCCTTTGTGAGATGGGAAGATATTACACTCACTTTTTTCAAAGGTAGAAGGGAAAATAAGGCGTAGGTTTCCCTGTTTGTCATGCAGCAAGTCGTCTCAAGCTGTGAATTGAATTGATCTGAGTCCTAAGCTAGTGCCTTACAGCCAAGGGAACTGGAAAGTAAAATGTGTGGTAGTGGCAGCAAGAGCTGGCAGGGGTAGAGCTGCCAACCTGCTGCCCAGCACAGGTACCTTCAGCTTACTGGAGTTTCTTTCTGTGAGGTGGCAACTGCTGCTTAGGACCAGAGAAGTTACCAGAGTTCCTCAGAATTATGAAAATGAGGAGCATGGCCTGTGCTGGGGGTTGGAAAAGGGGCTTTGAATTTAGTGTGATCTTATCAGTGAGAAAGTAGAAAAATAAGAAAGTACTATTAAGGGAAAGGAGATGAATGATCAGATGCTTTGATGCAGTTAGGGTTTGATGGCTTGTCTAGATGCTATCCTGGAATATCTCCTTGGGAGTGGGCAACAGTCTTTGGTGCAGACTCCAGTGGAAACATTTTGCATGGTTGCTGTGGAGGTGCAGACTGCAGTGTGAGACTGGAAGGAAGAGCTTTTCTGCTTTCCAGAGGAAAACCTGAGGCGGAGGTGCAGACTGCAGTGTGAAGTGCATGTGAGACTGGAAGGAAGAGCTTTCTGCTTTCCAGAGGAAAACCTGAGGTTATTTTGCAACATATGGAAACTGTATAGTTAAAGCCCCAAACACTAAAGCATTTGGAGAATAAGTTTTCATGGTTTAGTGTATTGTATGAAGTAGCTGTTGAATGGATGGAAAACATTTGGAGAAGTTTTCGTGGCTTAGTGTATTCTATGAAGTAGCTGTTGAATGGATGGAAACAGCAAAGTAGTCAAGTAAAGACCTCTCAAGTCAGTGTACAGAGTAGTTCTGGAAGCTTCTTGTCTTTTTTTCAACACAGGTACTTTCTTTCCCATTGTATCTGCTCAGACCCTTGCAAAGATGAGTTTAAAACAATCTCTTCTTGATCTTGGTTGACTCTATTGGCCAACTTCTGCATCATGTGCTAGTTGTACTTGTCTGCAGATTAGATTTCTCTCTGTGTTTTCTGTAGAGTTAGCTTTAGAGGCATCAATTTAATGAGATTTTTGCTCTTGTTTCTATCACTTACGGAATTTGTTTGTGCTGAAGGAGAGGGAGGAAAAGCTTACTTGTTTTTCCCTGTTTAGATAGGAGGGATCCAAACATTTTCTATCATAGCTGTGCTGAGAATACTTTTCCTCCCTGTTCAAGGACTTCTAACCCCGAGGTGTATGTGATCAACAGAACTGCATACAGACATACTTGGATTTACTGCTCTGCAGATCATAGCAGAACAGGCCTCTGATACTTGCAGTTTTTGTAATTGATCAAATGTTTATTTTTAAACTTTCTCTTGTGCTTTCTGCCAGACAACATTAAACAGTTGAAGTTTGATTGGTAAATACACATGGAGTGCTGTTGTTCAGCTAAGAAACGTCAAGGTTTGCAATACCCTCCCTTAGAGAGCTTTTACAGTGCCCTGAAACACCAAGTCAATGTGCTGAGTTGGGGCTTGGCCATGCTCCACCCTGCCATGGACAGGATATACAGATGAGTGGTTTGGTGTCACCTTCAGAGCTCCTGTGCTTGCAGGCTTGGGTTCTCTTTGTAAAACAGCATGGGCTGGTAATGTGGCACCAGAGCTGAGCCTGGAGGTGAATCCCTGGAGACAGGAGGCCTGAGCAGGAGAGATCTGCTCACAAAGTGCTCGGCGTGGCAGAGGTGATGGTGTGCCATGCTGGGCTGTGTGAGGTGAAGCACCCATAGCACCCACCACTGGCCCAGTTAGTGTGAGCTCCAGGACATTTGAGCTGTTGGGGGCTACAATACAACTGCAGCCCTTGCTGCCTCCCTCTCAGCTGTAAAACCCAACTCCTGAGCTCTCCTGCCCCCCATGCCCTGAGCGCTGGCCTGAAGGGTGGCAATGCTGAGAAAAACATCCTGTTTTGGTTTAGAATTTCTCTTAACCTCTCTGCCAGCTCTTGATATTTCCCCGAATGAGTTTCGCTTGTCCTGCGCAAACCGTGCTCAGTCTAACCCCTGAGGTGCTGGTGGTGGAGGGGCAGGAGTGGACTCAGAGCCCAGTGTGGCTTTCCCTGCCCCTTCCTAGAAGTGGGTGAGTTGCAGCTGCAGCTAAGTGTGGTGTCCGAAGGGACTTGGTGTGTTTTGCATCAGAGCTTGTTGCTTGGATTGTGTTTTTAGCAGTCATCAGTGTCAGTGTAGGCTCATGTGTGGGGTTCTGTAAGGTAATCATCTCTCTGCTGCTGTGCTGTTTTAGAGGCTGTTTCTTATGTGCTTCTGAAGGATTTAAAAGCTAATACTGGACTTGCTTTTGTCAGCCCTCTTAGGTTGTAATTAACTTCCATAATGGCAGAGTGAAAGTCCTTTAATAGAGCAGGGTACAGCTGAGAATGGCTCTGAAGTTCTTGTGTTAACAATCCGATATGAATTTTGGAGAGATGGTTAACAAAGGACTAGAAACTGAAGTACAAACACCAAATAAACTTACCCGGTGTTTTGCTCAGTGTTGTGATGCTTTCTCTGTCTTCCTTACGTTGCTTTTAAGCTGTTTGGCAGGTGCTGGCTGCCTTACTGTTCCTTTTTCACTGTACAGAAGGGATTTTGGATAAACCTCTTTTTATTGAGCCTTGTCGGAGTCGTTTTGTATTACTGTTTTTCTTGAGAACACAACTGAGATGCAATTTCTTGTGGGCTGCAAAGGAATTGGCATCAAAGAGCAGAACTTCAGACTGATGTGTAAACTTGATTCCAGTGTCTTGTATCTTTAAGTTGCAATTTGTGTGCCATCATGATCTTAAATTGAGGAAACACTTGTTCTAAATCTAGTAATTACTAATGTGACTTTCTTTTATTTTAAGGGAGTCCACAAGACGTCCCAGGTGATAGAGATGGTGAGATGAGTTCCAAAAGGTGCCGCACGGAGGAAACTAAAATCTGTGAGAAATGCTGTGCAGAATTCTTTGTTCTCTCTGAATTCCTTGAGCATAAGAAAAATTGCACTAAAAATCCGCCTGTTCTAATCATGAATGACAGTGAGGGAACAGTCCCCCCCGAGACCTTCTCCGAGGCTTCTCTGGGGACCTTCCCAAGCGACCGAATGGACAGCAGGACACGCAAGGACGTTCAGGCAAAGGGCTGCACTGGTTCTGTGGAAAAGAGAGAAGGAAAAATGGATGCAGAAGCAGTAGGAGGAATGTACCTCAAAATAGAACCCCCTGTGACACCTGCGGCCCCTCCCGGACTAAGCTATCTACCAAAACCCAAAGTACCAAACACTAATGTGACTTTGCAGACGATACGTGGCACGAAAGTGGCTGTGAACCAGCGAACCTCGGATGTGCCATCTCTTCCTCGGCAGCCACTTTCAATGCCATCCCCATGATCCTGGAGCAGCTCGTGTGTCTGCAGCAGCAGCAGCTGCAGCAGATCCAGCTGACGGAGCAGATCCGCATTCAGATCGCCATGATGGCTCCCCACGCCCTCCATCCTTCCATCGCTGCTGCTGCTGACCCGCTCAAAGCTCTGGGCGCCCACATGTCCCAGCAGCTCTCGGCCGCCGTGGCTTTGATCGGACAGAAAGCTGGAAGCCAGAGCCTATCCCTGGAATCCTTGAAGCAAGGAAAACTACCTCATGCTAACACTGGCATTGCAGCCGCCAGCTCGCTGGCTGCTGGGCTCTCCTCCTCCTTCCCCCTGAAGCCAGAGGTGAGCCGGAGCCTCCCTGGCGCCATGACTCAATTCCCAAATCCTTTGCTACCTCAGACCTCCAACTCCGTCATCTTCCAAAATCCACTCGCAGCCGTTTCCTCTGTGATGGATTCCTCCAAGAAGGGGAAGGGGAAACCTCCCAACATCAGCGTGGCTGAAAGCAAACCGAGCGCGGAAGAGCCGTTCTTCAAACACAAGTGCAAGTTCTGTGGGAAGGTCTTCGGCAACGACAGCGCTCTGCAGATCCACCTGCGCTCCCACACCGGGGAGAGGCCCTACAAGTGTAACATCTGTGGGAATCGCTTCACGACCAAAGGAAACCTCAAAGTGCATTTCCAGCGTCACAAAGACAAGTACCCCCACATAAAGATGAATCCTTACCCAGTTCCCGAGCACCTGGACAATGTTCCCACTAGCACTGGAATCCCCTACGGGATGTCTGTGCCGCTGGATGAGTCTAACCTAATTGTGGATAGCAAACCTCTCCTAACAACTCTGCCTACCTCTGTGGCCACGGGTGCATCTCAGACCATCTCCAGCCTGGCTGGCATTAAGGAGTCTCTGCCTGGTACATTCTCAAGTGATCTGCAGCCAAGGCCATCTCCAGAAAGCGAGGGTGGCTCCTCCTCATCGGGGGCGGTCGGTCACGAGTCAGGAACGGAGCAGAGCTTGAGCTCACCACAAGCTGCCTGCAGCGTGAGCATCTTCCACGTAAGTGGGTCAAACGAGCAAGGCTCGGAGACGTCGAAGCTCCAGCAGCTGGTTGAAAATATCGACAAATCCACTGCTGACCCCAACGAGTGCCTGATCTGCCACAGAGTGCTGAGCTGCCAGAGTTCTCTCAAAATGCATTACCGCACTCACACCGGAGAGAGGCCGTTCAAGTGTAAAATCTGTGGCCGTGCCTTCTCCACTAAAGGGAACCTTAAAACCCATTACGGCGTCCACCGGGCCAATACTCCTCTGAAGATGCAGCATTCGTGCCCCATTTGCCAGAAGAAGTTTACAAATGCAGTTGTGCTGCAGCAGCATATCCGCATGCACATGGGGGGGCAGATCCCCAACACACCCATGCCAGAAAACACCTGTGACAGTGCTGAGGTGGATCCCACTGTGGCTGAGAAGAACGGAGACCTCAGTCGCCCAGATGAGACCGTGGAATGCATAGAGATGGAAGAGGACGTAGACTCTCAGGATGGCCCTAGGAGCTCTTCGAAACCTCCTACTCCATATGATGCACAATCAGAGTCACCAGCCACGACAACCTCTTTCTCTGGTGTTGCAGCACTGGAGAGTCAAATGAAGATTGTCACCTCTGCTTTGAATTTGCAGCGGCAGAGCAGCTTGAAGTCTAGTGACAATGGCTCAGCAGAAAGCGATGGCATGACAAATGATTCCTCCTCTGTGGCAGGAGATCCAGATTACCAGAACGGCAGGAGTCCTGCTGCCTCTGAGGCTGCGTCGCTGCAGGCTCTGTCCCCAGCCAACAGCCAAGCTGAGAGCGTCAGGTCAAAGTCACCTGCCTTCAACAGTCAGGAAGATCCAGGCCCAGGAGGTAAATCGGAGGGTGCTGAGAATGCTCCTGCAGAGATGGAAGGGATTGTCGGGGCTTTGGATTTAACTTACGGCAATATCGGTCGCAAGGTCATTAAGGAAGAGCCTGGGTTACACTTTGCAAATGGAGAGTATGGTGAGTAGTGAAGTGCTGGGGATCATTTGGGGTGGGACAGTAGGACTGGAGGGATTCAGGCTCTGAAAGGGCCACCCGGAAACAGAACCTCTTCAGCCCTGTAAAGTTTTCATGACTAAGTCAGACTCAAAATTCTGCAAAATTCAGCAACTGAAGTGCTGTCATCTCCTGCAAGGGGTGTCAAAGAGGTCCTTAAAATGAATAGAAGTTGTGCAATTCCTGTTTTCATGGGTTCACCTGATGCCTCTTTAGAGCTCTTTAAAGATACATGTTTGTGTTTCATGGGAGAACGGTTTATCCCCAGAATGTGACATGGAAACTCTGGAATTGTTTGTGCAATTTTCAGGCTCTTTTGCATTGAGGTTAATGTTGATGTAAGCTCAACCTGAAGGTGAGACTTTCTAACTCACCAGCTCGCCAACAAAAGCCAGGACTGAGCTGGTTTGTTTCGGGCTATGCTGGGAAGTGTGGTAGGAGTCCTGCTGTGTCCATGGAAGATTCTGTAGATGTGTTCTTTGGGCACACTCAGCTCCAGAGGGCCAATCTCTGGTGTCTGGTGACTTGGAAGCAGGAGGAGGTTGGGATGAGCATTCTCTTTGCTTTCTCTCCAGGTCGGAGTAGTATTCCAGCTGCTTTTGTTAGAGCCCCCCCAACCCTCATCAAAATGGAGGTGCCCAGCGATCGGCCCATTAGCACTAGCCATTTCCTCGGTCCACCAGCTCTGTCCCCTGGGGTCGCCCCTCTCCTCGTGCCACGGCCCAAGTTCTGCCGTCCTGCCAAACAGCACATCTGCACTACGTGTGGGAAGAACTTCTCCTCTGCCAGTGCCCTGCAGATCCATGAACGCACCCATACTGGTGAGAAGCCATTTGCCTGCACCATCTGTGGGAGGGCCTTTACCACAAAAGGAAACCTGAAGGTAGGTCTTCTCTGTTGTCATCTCCTTTGCTGGTGAAACTCATACCAGAGATGGACAGACTTTTGCTAATTTTGGACCTGCCTTTGGGGACAACATTGATTTTTCTTTTAGTCCCTCCACTAGTTATCTTTGACTTCTGTCTCCTTCCTGAGTGTTTCACACAGTTGCTTGCTAAACAGTGTACTGAGATGACTCTCAGATCTTTGCTGCTCTCCTTGACTTTCCTTTTGGGATGTTGGGGAAGGCTTAGCCCTTACTAAGCAGATTGCTTTTTCTTTTCATTTGGATTTGGATGTGTCAAGACACAAACATTTCCTAGACTGAATGCTGCAAAATGCTACTGCACTGCTTAAAACACTGTGTGAGATGAGGAGGGATAAAACAGGATAATCCTGAGACAGCACAATGTACTTGGGGATTGTGTCTAGGCACTTGCTGAAGAAGTACTGCGAGTCTGCCCTTATTGTCACATGGATCCATTTGCCCTGAGAGGGAATTGAAGCTTCTCTCCTCACTGTGAGGACTCTTCATGCTCTTCAGTCCTCTTGCATAAATGATGCTGGGGAGGGAATATACTCTGCAGATTGTGAACAGTCCCTTGCTGGAAGCACTAGCAGAATGTGGTGCAGAAGATTTCAGTTTAGTTGTAACCTCTCTTGGTGGCTTTTTGCTTGCATCAACCAGTATTTTTTTCAGTGTAGTGTGTTCATAGCAGATAGCATGGCTTGTATTTGGGGGGAGTGTCTTTGCCAACACCTCATAAAATAAGTGTCAAACAGGCCTACAGGCCCTTCAGCAGTGAACTCTAGGAGGTCACGGTGATGTCAGGCAGTGGAATGACTGTGTCACATACCAGGAAGGGAACATTGACAAGAACTACCCAACTTAAATACTTCATGCAAATGGAGCATAGATGACTTCTTTGCGTGCAACTTGGCTGTAAGCAAGGCAGAACTTGGGTATGCCACGAAAGAGCTGCAGTATTAACGATTCTCTTCACTTTCCTCCCTCTGCAAGGTCCATGTAGGAACTCACATGTGGAATAACTCTGCCAGGCGGGGAAGAAGGCTCTCCATTGATAACCCCATGGCTCTGCTGGGGAACGATCCCAAGAAGGTGTCGGAGATGTTCCCAAAGGATATTATGCCTCCCTCAGTGAGCATTGACCCCACGGTGTGGAACCAGTATGCAGCAGTGCTCAGCAACGGCATCGCCGTGAAGACCAACGAGATCTCGGTGATCCAGAGCGGTGGTTTGCCCCCCCTGCCCGTCACCATCGCGGGTGGCTCGGCCAGCAGCACTGCCACCGTCTCCAAACTAGACGGCACCCAGGCTGGGACTGCTTCCGAGGCCGAGAAGGCCAGTGGTGCTGCTGCAGACAATGTGCCAAAACACCAGTTCCCTCACTTCATGGAGGAGAACAAAATCGCCGTTAGTTAAAAAAACCAAAAAACTCTAGTGAAGTTGACGTACGGGAAGAACAAATATATATATACGCAAACATATATTTTTAAGAGATTCCACTTCGGCCTCCTATTTTCCTATTGACGTGCAAATGATTTTATGGTTGTCTTTGTAAGAGTTGCCCAGAGTACAATCATGATATTGCTTTGCAAATAGTAGCTAATAAAGAATAGGGTTTCCTCCTCTTTGGAACGATGCGGGTCTTGCAAAGTACTGCTCACGTGGGACTTAATGTGTACAGCCTTACACGAGTTTCTGCAACTTGAAATTCCAAAGGTTAGAATCTTTACCTCTTTTTGTTTAGAGTGCTACTTGGGGGTTTTGAATCGAGTGGAAACAACCTACTGTTGCTGGAAAAGTTTCTGTTTCCTGGGGAGAAATGAAAACTCTTGATGCGGGTAAATAGCCTCGAATGTCTGCCACCCTCCCAGGGTGAGTTCTCTGTTTGGGTTTTTGGCTCTGTGTGGTTTCTGAATGTACTTTTTATGAGAATGGCGATTAAAAACTACGAACTTTTTTTTAATTTTTTTTTTTTTTTGCCTCAGAAGTTCTATGAGAAGCAAGTTGCTGTTTTCTTTTTTAGTCACTGCTCCTAAGGAATTAATTCTCTGTGTTGTTGACTGCTGCTTATTTAATACTACTCCTAGGACAGTCCTTCAAGTATAGTGCCAAAACTCCTACTTCCAAAGATGTGCAGTTTTTCCTAGATGTTTTATTTCAATACCAAGAGCCCCAAACAAGCATGGGTGGGTATGTATATACTTTTTTTTTTTCCTCTCTTGAAAGGGAAGACTTGCCTTGGGAAGTCAGGTCTAAAGGCTCTGCAAGGAATCTCAGGTGACTGTTGCATTTGGGCATGGGAACTGGTTTCCTTAGCAAGAGGCTTTTTGTTTGTGTTCTTTTTTGTTGGTTTTTTTTTTCATTTGGGTAATTTAGGAGATCAGTCTGTGTAAACCTGTATTTAAATATGAAGTATTCATGCTTAGGTTAAATGTTTTGTGGGTTTTTGGATGGCATTCCTACTCTGGTCATTAAGTTTCTTGGTGGTCTGTGAAGTAACATTCTGCCAAAATGGTAATTAATGATCCGTGTGTGTTGTATGAAGGTTGCTGGGATAGTCATCTGGATTCTAAGTTATCTACCTCATTTTTTCCTTTTGTAGTTGTAGTGTCTATTTTTCTATTAATGACCACTGTAATGAACTGAGATTCGAGCAGATGCTTCCATGCACTATCTGAAACCAAAACCTGATGTATTAGTGGAAGCACCTGAAGAGTTACTGGACTGACCTTTCACTATTCCTCTAACGCCTGCTGGAACTGGATATGTAGTGGGATCTGAACCAGACTGGAAAGTGAGCATTGGTGTGGAAGGACTGAAGGATGGAAAGAAATCTTAGCTGTTGACTGCAGGAAATCTTCAAGTCCAGTCTCTGTTGTGGAAGGCCCCAAAAATGCAGATTACCAAAAGTTTGTGTAATGTTGTTGCACCTGATTCTTGCTTATGATCTCTGTATGCCGAGTTGTGCCTTTCCTGCTGGACTTGTGAGTAAGAACATACCAGTACCTGTTTACACTGTAAAATGGATATTGTTACATAGACCATGCAAAAGGCATCCCAATTGTCACGTTTCTACATTGTGAATGTATGACTTTTCAGAACTCTGTAGTTTTGAGTACCTACTGATGCGTTTCTGTTGACATTTTTGAGAATAAATTTTGGGATGGCTTTTTCACACTTGCTGCTTACATTTTTCTGCCAAAGCTTTTGTCTCCTGACCAGTGAGCTCAAGAGGCAGCATATGCTGACTCACTCCAGGGAATCTAAATCCATGATCTGGAGTTGTGCTTTAGTTTGTTACTTAAAGCAACAGGAACTAGGTAGGAGTGGAGGAATCTCTAGATCAGTTCCTTGGGATCAGCTGGGGTTTGATAACAGGGATTGGTACTTGCCAGGAATGTTGATTTCCACACTAGAATAAAGTGGCAGGAATATGGGCAATAATTCCTGTACCTGTGATCACCCTAGAAAGGGAAAGGAAGGCCAAGTTAGCAAAGTGCCAGTGCCTGACAGTGCTGGCTGTATGGAGAAATGGTAACTTCCCCTAAAGAGCAAAGGAAAACAGTTCTGAAAACAGCCCTGATCTGATGGGAAAGTGTTGATCCTGATACTTCTAACCTCAACTAGTAAATGAATTTTGGGTTTGGGAGGTAACAAGGGAGGAAAATGGTGCAGAACCAGGGAAAATCCCTAAGGTGCACCTTTCCAACATTGCTGCTGCCTGATTGTGGTGCCCCTGGCACAGGACTTGGGAGTGGAAAGAAAGGCAGAGAGGAAACACTTGTTCTCCAGGCCCTACCACCAAGCTCTGGAGGAATGAGAAAAGGCTTAGGGAGGGCAGGACCAGGTGTGAGGTGGTCCAGGAAGGTGGGCAAAATAAACAGGAGCAGAAGGAAGGGAAAACACACTGTGGATGTGTGGGAATGTGGAAAGCACACAGCACTTACCTAGTCTACACAGCATGATATTGTTAGAAGCAGCACTATTCCCTGGAGGCAAAATACCTGGAGGCAAAATATGTGCTGCAAGAGAAGACACAGCTCTACTCAGGGAAGCCAAGGGATCCCAGGAATCTGCTGGGAAGCCAGGCCAGCAAGAGGTTTGGCAAACAGGGCTCTGATGGCCCTGCAAGCACAGGGCTGCTCGGGGGAATTGGGTCATTCCCTCCAGGTCCTGCCTTGGCCGAGTGGACAGTGGTGAGATCAGACGATGTGACCTGGCACAGAGACACTGCAGGGCTTTGCTCTCCAGGCCACGGTGTCAAGTGCTCGCTGTGCCCAGAGCTCTCTCTGCTCAGGGATGGGGCAGCTCCAGGCTGGAGCCTGGCAACATCCCTGGCTGAGCTGCTGCCAGCAAGTCATGGATCTGGTCCCAAAGCCTGGAGAACGGGTAGGACCTATCTGCCCCCAGGCAGAAACAGGCTGTGCCATAGGGAGATTTCTGCTGGAGGTAGATGCCTGGGGGACTGTGTTTCTGAGGGAAGCAGGGCTGGGAATTACCTGCTCTCCCATGTGCAAGAGCTGAACCAACACCTGCTGCCACTCAGCGTGGTGGAACTCACCACACCAGCGAGTGTGTTCAGTTTACAGTAACTGTGTTCAGTTTACAGTAACGTTACCTCTTAACAATTACAAAGAACAGCTGATTCTCTTCTTCCCTTTGCTGATGGAAATTAGGCAACAAGTTTACCGAAGCTAATGTAGCTAGAGCAGTGTGAGAGGGGAGTGAGCACGGTATGTGCACTGTCTCTGCATATTAGCCTCTCTTCTTGCCTAAAGGCCTTTCTTGTTCGTGTTTGTTGCTGCTTCCTTTGCTCATTGCACAGAGGCTTTGCAGGCTGTTGCTTTTGTGTGAGTAGCACATGTGTTTGCAGGAGTTAAGGGAAAGGCTGGCTGACTTTAAATGCAAAATTTGAACTTACAAGTTGCATTGCTTTTAAAAAATATGTAGCATTAAATGCACTTGGTTTGCCTTCATGTATTACCTCTAGTATTCCTCCAAAGAAAGATTTCTTTTAGCTCTTTCTGTTCAAAACTTTCCTCCAAACTTCATTAGCCTCTGTGGTTGGTCACATCTTGCTGTCCAAAGATTAACTTCTCTGTCTCAATTGCTTCATGCAGAAAATGTCTCAATGCAGAGGAGGTACAGGTGGATCTCATCCTGGGCCTTATTTTCCAATACTTGGTTTAGGCAAAATGCAGATATAACTAAAAGTTCGTTTAAAAGTGGCTCTCTAAAGAAAACTAAGAAGCTGATGCAGGAGGAATCTATGGGATAAAGAAGTACTTGATAAATAAACTGTACTTTGACTGCAGTCAAAGTACAGTACATACAGTACATACAGAATCAGTCCTAGGGGTTTTATGCAGATTATCCTCCTGGATCCTCAGTGGCTTTGCAGTGCTGTGTACGTGATGACAGAGGATGCTTTTAAATCAGGTTACCTCAATTGGCTTAACAGCCCTTCACAGTCCTGTCGATCCACTTGGCAAAGTTTGTTTTGGGAGAGTTTGTCTCCATGCAGTCTGGATGTTCAGAATACCAAACATAACTGTTTAATTTTTTTTTTTGACTGTTTCTTTTTCCATAAAACCAGTTTGATTACTTCAGTGCTTAAAAGTTCAGCACACATTCGGGTGATTTGCTGCTTTGAGGTACCTGAATTTCTGTCTGTCTTAGAAGTTCTCCACCCCTCCCAACACATGATGTCCAGAATTGGAAAACATCAGATTCCCTCTTTACTTATTCTTCTGTTTCCCCTCAATTCTTCAAGTTTTAAATGACAAAATAAACACTTTATGCAGAGGGGTTTCTTTTAAATGAGGTTTGCAAATATCAAATGTGTAACAAATACCAATTTATTTTCAGTTTATAGCTTTACATTTCTTTGTCCCACTCGCAGGAGGTGTGACACAAAATCAGTATGGTCAGAACCCACAAAACAGCTACAGCTAACAGCCAGATCGTTCCAAGAGCTGACAAAACACAAACTACAGATGTGAGTTTGTTTGTCTAGAAAGCCTTTTTCTGCCTTCATTCCTCTGAGCTGACAGCTGTCCCAGCTGAATGACAGTTTGGCTATTATGGTTTTAAAAATCAGGTACCCAAGGGTTGTTTTCTTCTTGCTCCACAACATGTAATTATGCAAGGAAGAAAAAGCTCCTCCACAAAGGCTGCACTTCCTCAGATCAGCGTGAGAGTTCTCTGCTCCAAAACTTCATTATGAGAATGCCAAATGTTCCCTCGCTAGCAGAGCCCATGGCAGCAGGAGCTTTATTGTCGTTTCCCTTAGCAAGTGTTGATGGATTTATGGAGGCCTTCATTAAATATAGGCTTAAAGGATATCCGCTATCGCCCACTTGTCAAGAGGAGACGTCGTATCAAAGCCATCGGTGCCGAGCAGAGCTGCAGGTGTTAACAGTGCAGGATAATCTGGTAGTGTTTAACTCCCCGAGTAATTGCACGAGTCTTGTCTGAGTTCAGCTGCTTACAGGATAAATTTAGAAGATGAATGCATCGTGTGTAGGCTGAGGGCACACGTACAGTGGTGCCACGTTGCTAATGAGAGGTGATTCAGCATCCCAGGTCATGGCAGTGTTCCTCTGATCCAAAATGCTCCTTCCTGGTGATGGCTCATGTGAGAGCAGAGCTGAGCCTTGGGGATGGGCAGACTGCACGTTTGCTGTTGTTTTGAGGGATGAAATGTCTGAGCCTGTTTCAGTACTGCCTGAGAAGGAGTGATGTTCCACCATGCCAAACCTCCTCTTTGCTTGTCAGTGGTGGGAGTGAGTCAGGAGCACAGGGAAGCAGAGCAGTGGACGAGCTGAGCTGCCTGCACAGCTCCTGCAGGGCTGCAAGTTTGCAGGCACTTAGCAACCCAATCCCTGCCCTGGCTGCTGCCTCCCTGCACACACAGCCTGAGACAAAGCTCCAAACACCGTGTGCAATGGGCTGTGCTGTCAGACAAAGGGGGTGTCTCCTGCTCTTTGTAAAACATGCACTTGTGCAATCAGATAGTAACAGGTACAAAGAATAATGGCACAGCTTGGGCTGCCTGTGGAATCATAAACATTTTGTTCAGCCAGTTACACACCTATAGCCTGAGCCATCTCCTTAGATGTCAGAGTGATCTATCATTTCATATTCATGCTTAGGGAAAAAAATAGACTAAGCAAATTTAATGTAGTTCCAGGATTGAATTAATATTTCAGCATATAAAAAGTCAAACAGAATATTATTATTGTGACCTTCCTCTGTGTTCATCAGGAAATCAAAAAACTGGAGTCCTACGCATAAAAAGCTCAATTATTTATTTAGTGGCACAACTATAATGGAAGAAAATTTATAGCATCTTGTGCTAAATAGGTAATGAGTCCAATTTGCAAGTGCATTGTCCAGGCTACCACCCATTGTCTGAGTGGGAAGCTGGCACGAGGACCTGCCCCTGGAGGAATATGGGCAGTGCCCCAAAACACAGCTTATTGACATGGCCTTTAATCAGTGGAGCTTGGAGACCTGGATGCCTTGGGAGAGCAGTGAAACCCACTGAAGGGATGGCTGTGGGTGTGAAGCTGTCACAGGCAGGGAGGAGGGGACAGTGCTCTGCACCACAGAGGTGCAATGGAGAAGTGAGGGAGAAAGGCAAAAGATAAGGCTGGAAACGCTGCCAAAACCACTGGGAACCACTGTGGTAAAGGGTGATGGACACAGAAATTTCTGGTTTGATTCAGACATCCTGGAGCCAGTTGTGGCCATAAGTTGTGCTTATTGTGCAGGTTGAGCTTCTGTTTGTCTTTGTGAGCTCCAACGTCAGAGCACGAGAGACTGAAGACTCTTCAGTGCATAAAACATAATCCTTGCAAAGTGTGCTCGTGCTGCCTGCTCTGGGGACAGACACTAAATCATCCCAATCGACAGCCTGGAAGTTTTGTGCAACCCTTCGTGTTAAAAATGAGGCCTCAGCCTTGGATTGCCAATAAACAATTTCTGGGTTTGAAAGGGGATTTACAATGTGCAGTGATGAAAACACTGACAGCATTTGATGAACTCTCCCTACAGGACAAACTCAGAGTAGGCCAAGTGGTGCAAGCACTGGTTCTAAGATAAATCACTTGGTGGGGATGGAAGGAGAGCAGTGAGGGATATAAACTTCTTGCTGTGCTGTTACTTTAATCATC